CACACTCACACACACGTTAAACTCCCATGTAAAACAGAAAATATTCATACAGGCACTCAGGTGAAACATCAGCACAGGTCACATGACCATGATTGACAATTTCTGGCAACATTGTTGACGCTATTGGAAGAGAACTAACTGAGCTGGACGATGAATCACTGAATCAACAATGAACTGACTTTAACTGATAAATTTTTCTATTATGCTCTTGCATTATCAGCACACTTTTCCTGTTTAACACTATAAAGCTGCTTTGACACGATCTGTATTGTATAAAGCGCTATAGAAATAAAGGTGACTTGACATGACTAGGTGTTGCCATAGAAACAGCATCATATAAATCACTGCAGTAATTCAGGCGTAGAGAGACGAGTGACGACGTACCTGTGATTCAGCAACAATCACAGTACAGCGCTGATCTCGGATGAACGATAATGAGACAATTATGAAATACTAGTTGATTCTGGTTTATATTAAAGCTGCTTCACAGACTAAATGCTGGTGTACATCCGTCATGTGAGCGAGTGTCTGATTGTTTTAATTACATCCAGAGTCAAACAGAATGAAGTCCTTGCAGATATAAATCCTGTCGAATTAAATCCATTAATCATATGCAAATACTGCTGATACTCCACATGGTTTGTTCAATGAATGTGAGCCAAAGAAATAAAGGGATTTCTATTCAACAAACACACAAACAGATGCTTTGAGATGTGCTTTCTTATGAAACTCGTCTGATTGATGAGCAGAAATTACAGACTGAACTGAAGCTGACTGAAATGTATTTGTAAGGCACTTTTCACAATTACATTTCCAAAGCAGCTTTACAGAAAATCTTCATGTTAAAGTTGATTATATGTTAAAGGGATAGTTAATTAAAATTCTTCCATCAATTACTCATCCTCAAGTTGTTCTGAGAGTTGATGGTACCCATTGATTTCCATGTATGTATTTTTGATGTATTGATGTATTACATTGATGTATTTACTATAGAAGTCAATGGCTACCGTCAACTGTTTGGTAACCAGCATTCTTCAAAATAACTTCTTTTGTGCTCAACAGAAGAAACTCATACAGGTTTGGGGAGAGTAAATGATGATAAAATTATTTTTGGGAGAACTAATCGCTTTAATATCTTCATGCCTTACAATTGCATCTATCAGATTAGAGCAGGACAATGATGCAGTATAGTACTGTAGTACGTTCATGCTGGTTATTTGTGTTCCAGACTCAACGTCACGAAGAGGAGAAGAGATGTCTAAGTCGAGAGATCGTCACTCTGAAAAACCACCTGATGGAGGACAAGATCACCATCCAGAAGCTGCGAGAGGATAACGTACGTACGACAGATGCCTTGCTGAACGCTTCCATCATCCACAGGCTAGTGACGCCTTCACAGCTGAAAATCTGAAATCTGATCAAAGTCGGCTCACAGGAGATAGTGTTCTGATGTGTTCAGTTGATAGTTCCTGACAGGTTTCTCCTAATATTTATCAGCCTCTGGCGTTGAGATCTCTGTGATGGAGCGAGTGTTTCAGGTTTGAGGAGCAGCTGCTGCTTCAGTGTCCACTTGGTTTCTCTCTAGGTTCACTAGTTAGGGTCCATTGAGCCAGAGATGGTGCCCAGATTCCCTCTCAAACGAGATGTAAAGGCTGATGGACTGGGAAGATTAACATGCTAGTTTGTGAATCATGGGTAACCATCAGAACTTTTCTTGTCAGTTTAACCCACTTTTGCCTAACTAGACTAACTATAATCAGTGTTTACATCAGCCGCATTCAGCTCAAACAAAATGAGGAAAGACATTCGTCTGCTGTGTTTGTCAGTAAATGACAGATGTGTAATATTGATGGATTCAGAGTTGTATATTGAATGATCATTTGCCAAATTAAATCATGTTAGTTTGATGGTTTGTGTTTTTCCCGCAGGATCTGTATAGGAAAGACTGTAATCTGGCAGCTCAACTGCTCCAGTGTGGAAAATCTCCTTACAGAGCGCACAAACTCTCCGAGGTATGGCTGATGAGCGCACACACACACACACACACACACACGCTCACACACACGCTCACACACGCACACGCACACACACACACACGCACACACAC